CCCCCTGGGGGGTGATTTCTCACTTTCTGTCTCTATGTCTCTCTCTGTCTGTCTGGCGAGCGCACGCGCCCTACAGTGAGAAAATCGCTCAAAAAAAAAAAAAAGATATATGTCTCGGGGGTCAACAGGTGGTGTGGTGGTTAAGGGCAGTGGACTCCCACATGGCTGATCATGGTTTGAAACCCAGACCTGGCAGCTTGCTTTCTCACTTTCCCTCTTTCTCTCTCTCTCTCTCTCTCTCTCTTTCTCTCTCATTCTTTCTCTGGTCAAGTTAAATAAATAAATAAATAAAGTTAAATAAAATAATTATTTTATATATATGTGTGTGTGTGTCTGGACTTTCTCTGTTTTGGGGTGTGCCTCTGGGTCATTTATTTATTTATTTATTTATGAAAAGCATAGTTTGGGGCCAGCAGTGGTGTTGTGATTAAGGTGCTGGATCCCACACTGACAGCTGTGCAGCTCAAGTCTCGAACCTGGTGACTTGAAATGTGCTGGGTGTGTGTGCCTGTGTGCCCAAAGTCCCAAGAGAAGGATGAAGGAGGAGGTGTGATCATCCTCCCTGGGGTGTCTTTCTCACTTTTCCTCTCTCTCCTGTTCTATTTCTCTCCTGCAAGCACATATACCCTCTAGCAAATTAAAAACGAACAAACAAAACATAAAACAAGAATAATTTTTCTACTTTTTGTGGAAACACACGTTTGGGGGCACAGAGCAGTGCTCTTATATAGCAAAGGGACTAATCTAGGCATTATGACCAATTTCTGAGAAATTGAATTTTGAAGACTTATTCCTGAAATTAGAAGTTAACTGGTATAATCTCATTTTGTGAATGAGGAAACTTGGATTTATGAAGGAAAGTTCCTTATCAAGATCACACAACTAGTTATAAAGACTTAAGTATTCACAATGCTTTAACACAACCTATAACACAAATGCAGATATATGCAAGGACTTCAAAAAGTTGATGGAAAAATTAAATGGAAGTACGAGTTTACTTTGATACAAACAAATTTGATATCCACGGATAGTTTATTCGTTATGCACACTTTCCATGAACTTTTTGAAGACCTCCCTGCATATGTGTACACATACACACATCCTCTTATATGTAAGACTCAGTGGACTTGAAAATATTGCTATGAAAGAGAGATGATGCAGGTCAGACCCAGGTTCTCATATTCATTTCCAAGCTCACTATATCTGCTACTTTACCTCCAAACATGCCTTATTACCAAATCTTCAATCTGCCATCAATTCCTGTTTTTCATCTTCCAAGTCATTTTCTTCCAAGAGTATTTTTCTTTTATTAATTTGTCATGCTCATCATTTATAAGCCCACCCAGGAATGAAGGATAAGGTGGCATAGGATCAGCAGTTAGCATAATGGCTATGTCACTGGACCGCGGTTTGAGTCCCAGACCCGCTGGCTTAAACTCACGCCGGGCACGTGTGTGTGTGTGCCCAAGATCCCGAGAGGAGAATGAGGAGAAGGGATTGTTGCATGGCCATCCCCCCTGGGAGGTGATTTCTCGCTTTCTATCTTTCTGTCTCTGTCTGTCTGGAGAGTGCACGCGCCCTATAGCATAAACCTCTTAAAAAAAAAAAAAAAAAAAGAAGAAGGATAAGGTGGCCAAGAAGAACCAGCTTAGTTATTCAGACTGAAGTGTGTAGGACTGTTGTTCTTTTATGCCACCAGAAACAAAAGAGATTTAAAAAATGTGTTTACTATCAATGGCAAATACTCTCCAAAGAATTTTGCCTTCCAGTCTCATATGCATAAGTGAGACTATGCATGCATGAGTATGTGTGTTTGCACACGTGTTTGTGATGTTCTTTTGGGAGATTTTCTATACAATAATCAGTATATTGTGAGAGCTAAGTTAACGTGAAGTAATTTAATTTTATTTTATTTAGTGAGATTTTTGCTATAGGATATGTGTGTTCACTGGAGAGATAGAAAGTAAGAAATCATCCCCCTGGGGGATGGCTATGCCATAGTCCCTTCTCCATTCTCCTCTCAGGATTTTGGGCATGCATGCACACGTGCCTGGTGTGAATTTTAAGCCACTGGATCTGGGACTCAAACTGCAGTCAACTACATGCAAGTCCAGCAACATAACCATTATGCCATCTGCTGGTCCCAGCATGAAGTAATTTTTAAAAATTCATCCCTGCTTCTAAACTCTGAGGAAAGAATCCTTCATAATAGCCAAAATTTGGTCCCAGTATTCTTCCTAGAAATTGTCAAATTGCTCTTTTACACGGATGCTCATTAGCAATCTCATAGGAATCAGATCTTCAGCAGGTGCCTTTTGCACCATCAAGACTTAGAATACAACCAGCACTTTTCCTCTTAGGGTTAAGCTGATGTACATTGAAACATGTGATTGTAGAGAGCTCATGCATGGAGTAGCACAGATTGGTGGAGCCAAAAGGCCATTCTGTCTGCGAGTACTGCACGTGTTTAAAAGTAGATGTATTTGACAGTTCCTTTCCTTCAAATATAAGAATAAGATGTTTGGTTCTTCGGAAGTCTCAAGCTGGATATGTTATCTATAAGAGTTATGATAAAAAAAGAAAGTTGTCTTACAGCACAAAATTGCAAAGAATCTAACTGCTGATGTGTACGGTTAATAAAGTGGTGTTTCTTTTTTGCCTCAAAATATTTGAAAATAATGGTGCATCTTAGAATCAATGACATCACAGAATAAGGGTTATATGGTATGTTAGTCTGTTACTGTGTTGCTAAACAGAAATACTTGAGACTGGGTGATTTATACAGGATAGAGATTTATTTGGCTCATGATTCTGGTGGTTGGAAATGTCAAGCACATGGAGCAGACATCTGGCCAGCCTCTGGTCTAATAGTGAGGTTGTCACTGCAGCATCTTGTCTCATATTGCTGGACATGATTGGGTGGTCTCGGCTGTTCACATGTATTAACTGTTCTCTTCTTGTTTCAGTGCACGAAGGCAGCCCTCTGGGTGAACTCCACCGTTGTATCCGGGAGGGGGTGAAGGTGAATGTTCACATCCGCACTTTCAAGGGACTTCGAGGTGTCTGTACAGGCTTCCTCGTTGCATTTGACAAGTTCTGGAATATGGTAAGTAAGCCTTTCTCCAGAAACTGAAGAGCCTCCCAGAGATCAAATCTTCTGCATGTTTGTAGGACCTGAGTAACCTTATTAGGCAAAACAACAGAATAACTTCTCAGAAGAACTAGAATCCATGCACACCCTTGGGCAATTGAAAAACAAAAAAGTTCTCTTTATTATTTTCTTTTTGTTAAGGCAGTGACTTTCTACCAGCAATTTAGCGCTTCTCTCTCACACAGGGACATTTGGCAATGTCTGGGAAATGTTTCCTTTTTCTTTTAATTGTCACAGCTGTGGAAGGGGGTGCTATTGGCATCTAGGAGTCGAGGGCCAGGGAGGCTGCTAACCATCCTACATCGCACTAGACAGCCCCTAACCACAGAGTGGTCCAGTCCAAAATGGCATTAGTGCCGTGGTTGAGAAGCCCAGCCCTAAGGAATAATTACTTATTTCATCCATTTAATAATTTTAAATTGATTTCCTACCAACCATTCTTTCATTTATTTAAAAATATTTATTGATCTTCCACTTTGAGCCCAGGGCTAGGTACGGAAATTTCAGAAAGGAACTTTTAACTCTGCAGTATTTGGGAAGATAGATAAGGATAGGAGAGAAGTAGATGTTAATGAACAAAGCTTGTTTCCTTATAAAGAATATCATGCATTCCTAGCCATTTAGAGGCTTCCTGGCCTTTTACTAGACATTTTAGGAGAGGAGAGATGTTGTAGCACAACTCTTATATGAGGTAATTAAAATAAGAATCACCAGGGCTTTCTAGTCTCTTTTCCCATGGTCTTCCATCTCAAACTTTTCTTTTCCCTAC